GAGGAGCCCCTGCCCGGGGGCAGCCCCGCACCCTGCCTCGTCGGTTTGCGGTGCCCTGACCTCTGCGGGGCCGCGTACCTGCGCCGGCCTTCTCTCCCGGCAGCGAGCAGCTCCGCCGTCCTCCGGGCTCTCGACGGGGGTTTTCGAGGAGGGGAGGATGCGGTGGGGCTGTGTGTCCGTAAGCGAAGCCGTGAAGGGGGCACCCCCCATCTGCTTCAGTAGCTGGAGGGCTTCGCGCAACAGAGGGGCAGAGAAAACGCGGTGCTGAGTGAGGGTGATGGCATTGCTGTTCGCTTTCACTGCGGTTTTATTTTTAAAGAGAACAGAAGATTGGGCGCTGTTACAGTCTGGAAGGCAGACCTGTTTTCGAGGTTGATTGTGGCAGTTTTAGAAAGGGATTCAGAGCAAAAATCGCAAGATTGCTGTTGGACTGAGCCTGGGAGTAAAACTGAGTGGGCAGCAGGAACGGCAGAAGCCCTGACAGAAACCCCATCAGATCCGTCACCGTGCCTGTAAGGCGATGAGGGCACTTCACTTTCTCTGAACAACAGGAGAGAAATTTTCTGTGAGATCCAGGGCCACTTCTAGGCTAGGCATGTGGGATGCAATTATTTCCTCTTTCATCAGCCACTGGAACTACCATTTTGTTGAAACCCTATCCTTGGAGTGTAATGATACCTTTTCTAGTGACCTCTTTGCGCAGAAAAGGGGAGGGGGGGGGGAAATGAAGTTAGATAAAACGTAGTCTGTCTTCCAGTGCATTGGGTTTATTTTGCAGCGGGAAGGAGAGAGCCGTTTTGTCGACGCAAAGAGGTTACCCTCGGCAGGCTTCTTTTTTCTTTTTTCTTTTTTTTTTTTTCCCCCTTCGCTGCAGAGCACGTGTTCAGGTCTTAATAAAACGTGCTAAAAGTTTCACTTTCGGTGGCGAACGTGAGACCGGGGGGAGAGAAAGCAGCGCAACACAGACAGGAGAATTCGCCCAGCTGTTGGACGGGGCGGGGGGTGTCCCGAGGGGTGTCCCGGGGGGTGCCGTGAAGAAGCCGCTGTGTCCTGCGAGCAGCAGAGAGCAAGAGCCCGCTCGGGTAGTCACAGAGTCATGGACTCATGGAATAGTTTGGGTTGGAAGAGACCTCTAAAGGTCATCCAGCCCAACCTCCCCGGAGTGAGCAGGGACATCTTCCACCGGTCCTTCCTCTCAGGGAATTCCCGTTGTTCCCATTTCTGTTTTCTGTCCCCGAGATTGCCGGAAAGAGCGACAGAGGCGTGAGGTGAAGCATCCCTGGGTATTTCTCCGTCCATGACGTTCCCGTCCAGGCGCAGAAGCGTTAAGCGCCTGCGACCCCCCCGACTCCGGGCATCCCCTCGCGAAAATAGATCGCATCAAATACTGGCCCCGGCCAGCAGCAGGACTCCACCTTCTCGGCTGTGGTGTCGGCAACCATTTCCAGCGCCGTCCTGCCCCTGTTCTGTCCAAAACGCACGTGTTCGTGGAAGAGGGAACGACGGACGCTGAAATGCCCACATTAGGTAGCACCGGCAATACCGTTTCCCCCAGTGCCACACCGTTTGGTGGAAGGGAATATATTCGGCTTCAATCAATAAAACACGTGCACTGCTCGCTACCCGCGGCTGACACAGGTGTAGAGACCATTTGGATGGAGTTTAGCGGGTTATTCTTATCATCATCATCATCATCACTGTCGTTTTTCCGACGTCATAACCAGCCAGTGGTTTTAGAATAAAATTTAACTTCCCGAAAAGAAACGGCACGATTTGGCTTCTTTTACACAAGCTTCCTCCCCCTACGCAGCTAAGCTGTGGATAACACCAGCTTCGATCCGGAAATTGTGGAGACTGCTAAACCGTCTTCGTTTAGCTGGGGCGAGTCAAACTCTGCCAGCACCCGTTCGAAGTTTTCCAGCGCCAGCATTTACTTTTCATTTTTACAATTCATTCCCCCCCAGCCCCCTTCTTTTCCCCGGGCACATCTTTAAAAGCAGATGCGCGTTTAAAAATATACCCGAAGCCGAACAAGTGCTAGAAATAAAACATCAGAAGTGCCTGCCCGTTCTCCCAGTTCGCGTTCAGCACAGCTGCCCCAGCCACAGCCTGCGTGTCTGAGAGGGAGAACGGGCGCTGCGGGAGATACACATCTATACGTCCCTCTGTCTCTCTATCTATCTGCACACGCACACACACACAGAAGTATAAATAGGACCTTTTTAGACTCTTAAAATAACAAATAAGACGATTCTGGGATGCAAACAGTCGTTGAAAGGCTGAAGCTTCTGTGCCTTCTTCATCGAGATCAGCGCTGCCGAGAAGGACGCTGGCTGTCCCAGCGCCCGCGCTGAGCTCGTAGGTGAGAGCGGTTGAAGGAAACCGAACCCCGGGAAGGTTTTTGGGGTATGCGGGGCGGCAGACAACGTTTTCACACCTCTTCTGCGATTCCCGTTCCGTCTGAAGGGAGATTTCGTTGTGTCACCGAGACGGCTGCACACGTGTGCCGGGACCGGTTGGCTGGAGGTGTTCCCGGCGTGCTTGGAAGAGCACTTGGCCAAGAAAACTCCTCCCGTCATTAGGCGATTAACCCGAGACGGACATTTACAGAACCCTGCGGACCGAGGAGACGCCGGAGCCCGGTTCTTGCTCATTTCGGCTGCATTTGGGCTAAACCGTCTGCGCTGCGCGTTTCTCTGTCGGGGTTCTTTTTCGAGCCCTAACCCAGGCATCCGCAGCGCACGACTTTCCGCCGTCTCACTCACCACTAAAACTTCTTTTTCAATTTTTTTCCGGAGGGGGAAAAAAAAAAAAATAAAAAGGACA